AGAGGTAATATGTGTGTGAGAGAGTAATTGTGTGTTGTCTCTGTTTGTAAAGAGTGGCATGGTATTACAGTGGTGCATGCAGTCATTTTTGTTATGGTTTTGGGTGGGTGGGTTTTGGATTCCAATTGTGGTGTTGGTATAAATATTATGGTGATGCATTGGTTTCTTTTTCTTTTTTCTATTTGGAAGTGTGTTGATTATTGTACAGTCTCTTTGTTTTGCTGATGATTTGTGGTGTTTTTGTATGTTGCCAGGCGTACACTGTGTTTTTGGTGTTCAAACTGCCTGATAATGGTTTTATTATAATGGGAATACAGACAGACTTTGTGTATGAATACCGAGTAAGATATTGGAGTGTGTGTGGAGACGTTTATTCAATATTGTTTTGATACCATTTGTTTTCCACTTCTTCTAAATTCAAGGTGTTGTTTCAATATCTGTGTAACTCTGGGTGTGTTTTATTGTGTGAGTGGTTTGCTGTTGCTTCCTCATTGGGTTGTGTTTGATTGCTGTTGTGATGTGTATTCTCTCTCACTCTCTCTTTCTGTGGAGCTGTGTACTCAGTGTGTGTTAAATGTGCGTCTCTTTTCTCCTTCTCTTTCATTTCGTTACCACAGATCCAAGCAACTCACAGTGACAATCATGACAACGATGTTCGTCCAACTGCGCCGCGTGGTGTACCTGTTGGTACTTCTGCAATTTTGTGTGTGTGTGGCATATGCGCAAAGTGATGATGATCCAGATGAAGCCAAAGTAAATGAGAACTTGGAAAACGCGTTAAAGAAGGAGGTGACCCACGCGTATACACTGTTTGTGGATGGAAGTGGTTGTTTTTCTGCTTGGAAGGATGTGGTGGGAGGTTGCAAGAGTAGTTCCGAGGATGTCGCGTCTGCTTCAAAGAAGACCGAGGAAGAGGTTGGGAAAATTAAAAGGTTGAGGGAGGGGGCATCTCTGTCCTCTGGCGATTCGTCAACGGATTTGAAAACCAAAGAAGCGGTAAAAAATGCTGCTGAAGCGGTGAACGCCACCATTGATGCAGTCGTTAAGATGACCTCATCAGTCAAGGGAACAAGGTGGGTGGGGGATTTTTGTATGGATATAGTTAATAATTGGAACGAGGAAGAGAAACGATTTGCCGCGAAAAGAAATTCCTTTTCAGAACTACTTGGGAAGAAAATAGAAGAGACGCCGGAGAGAATGATACTCGCTATTAACAGCAGTAAAATACACAAGGAGTTAACTTATCTCGTTGGGAATCTTTCTGCGTACAAGGGAAATAGCAGTTTCGTAACGAGGGATTCTGGGCCACTACGGAAGGTGGAGGATGCGTTGAAAGATGCGGTTACTGAGCTCAAAGAATGGGAAAAGACCCCGCACAATAAAGGATTGGGAGATGAGCTCAACGCACAGATCAAATACACCAGGGAGGCAGGTGATAAGAAACGGGGGGAAGTCACGAATGAACTGAAAAGGATAACATTTACACGTCGAGAGAGGACAACAACCAAAGAAGTTAGAGCGAAACTGGATGAGGCAAAGAAAACAGAAAAACTGAGATTGGAGGGGGAAATGGAGGATGCAGTAAAGAAATTGGTTGAAGAAGAAAAGACGAGAAGGGAAGAAGCAAAAAGACTAGAAAAGGAGAGAGAAGAACAGGAGGCCCAAAGAGCCAGAGAAGCGCAGGAGCAAAAAGAAAGAGAAGTAGAGGCCCAAAAGGCAAGAGA